TAAATGGGTGCAGAGCCAGTGGTGGTTTTGTAGGCAAACATTAATGCCTTGAATTTTATGCGAGCAGCTACTGGTAGCCAGTGCAAATTGATGAACACAGGTGTAACGTACATGATGCATACTCCTGATGCTAGCGCTCATAGCATACGAGCATCTTCAGCTGTGTGAGAGCAGAGGGCAGCGTGCGGGGGCTGGGCCGTTTGATTTTTAGCTCATTAGCAGTGGAAATACCTCAGCGACACCTTTGTTTGTCTCCCATGTGCGGAGACCTTTTCAATCTGGATGTGGGTGGGGGGTGGAGCAGCCGGAAAAGCATTTTGAACGAACATCATGTTCTTAGGTCCAAGAAACGGAAGCAAATATTGCTGTGAAATGTTGTGTTTTCCCGGCAGTATCAAAAATGGGTCATAATACACCGATCCAAGCTGTAAATGACACCGCTGCTAAAAATACTATCAGTGTTTGAGTCTTGCTTGGCAAAAGTGGCGTCGTAAGTAACTAGCAAACAGCCGGGAGACTGGTTGATTTGTCATTGTGTAAGCTGATTTCATACTTAGCTTTGTTGCTGGCAGTCTTTTGAGAGGCGATGCGGCATGTACGCCCACACCGCCGCATCCCTGCTCCGAGTCTCGGCTCTCTTTAGACCTTTCTCAAACATTACACACACACTGTCTCTCTGTCAGTGCCCCTTCATGGGCCGAAATCTCTTGTTTTGCCCAGTTCTTCCAATTTGGATGCAGCTGCACAGTCGGTCTGCCTGCAGGCGGCTCTATGCTGCTGAATATCAAGGCGTCAATAAAAGAAACCGAGCTTAAATGCTGAATAACAGCCTCTGGCCTCCTGAAACGATCCCAAGGCTAAGCCTGCATAAACACTCTGGGTTTTTTCTTCTTGTGCGCGTTTATCAGATGGTTGCTGTGCATCGCTGCTGTTCTCACACGACAACCCTGGTGGAAAAATAGATAATTGTTGTTAACCTTTAGGGATGTAACGATTCACTCATCTCACGAGTCGATTCATGATTTTGATTTCACGATTCGATTCGATTCACGATTCACTTTTCTTTTTTTTTTCTTTTTTTTTTTACAAAATGAGATTTAAGACAAATTATAAATTAAATGTGTCCTTTTATTATTGCTTGGACAAAATGCTGCATGTTTCTTTGTGAAATTGAAATATAACACTATAATAATATACTAATATAGCACTTGCATATTATTGCTCTTTTGTTGGTTTTGATTGCTTCTATTGTCCTCATTTGTAAGTCGCTTTGGATAAAATCTGCTAAATTACTAAATTTAAATATAATGTAAATGTAAATAACAAAACTAAATTGAAATTTTAAAACAAGCCCCAAAGCAAATAAATAAGTAACACAAATAAAGAAATCTCTTCATATAAACAAAATAAGGCTTTGTCTGTGCTCTTTCCATTTAAAATTAGAGGCAACCACTGCATTTTAATCACGATCCAAACAAAGATGCTGCACACATGCAACATGAGCAGTTTTTAAACTAAATTAGATTGTATAATTTCTAAATTTGAAGAATCGATTTTCAACCGGCTCGCGGTTAATCATTACATCCCTATTAACCTTGCATGATCTTAACGAGTCTCATTGAAAGTTAAATGATTATTCTGGGGTCAAGACATGTTAAGCTGCATGCATCTGTGACATGCTGCCGATTACATGACGTAACTCTCCGTTTGTAAAAACAAAGACATTTTTCATTTAGAGTGTGGCACAGATTCTTTTATTGCACTGCATTCGATACAGACTGCAAACTGAAGGCGTGATGCTTCATTTTTTCCTAATTAAAAAAATTCAGGAGCACATTAAGAGCAATTCAAATGTATCAAATAATTTGTTTTTCCTCGATAAAAGGATGCAATGTGACATTCACAATCAGAATTATTTATTTATTTGAAAACAAAGTCCAGTAGTTTTTAAAAAAATATATATTTCTGTCAAAGGCTGAATTTATTCAATAATTATTAATTTATATTTCAAATGTCAGATTGTGTAACTGAAATATCAATAATAACCAGAAAACAATATGTTCTGCATAATGCAGGGCTTTTAAGTATAAACAAGTCTGAAATACATCGGGACTCTTATTGTGAAATGTTTATGCTGTACTACTTCCAGCTGCTCATGCAGTGAGATAGTATATGCAATTTTACAACTATCTGCATCATAGTACAATACAAAACAACCTAAAGCTAACATTGTCAGAATTCATCAGCAGTAGATCATAAGCAACCATGAAGGTGCAGTATTTATTGATTGTGAAGTGCTCTGAAACAGTGAGTTTGTAGAACGCACAACAGCGACATGCTTTTACTTTGAATGTGCGCCGCTCACATTTATTTCAATAAATCATAGCCTTATTCCAGTTTTGCCAGCCTCATAATTAAAATGTAACCCTGGAGCACAAAAGCAGTCTTAAGTCGCTGGGGTATATTTGTAGCAATAGCCAACAATACATTGTATGGGTCAAAATTATCCATTATTCTTTTATGCCAAAAATCATTAGGATATTAAATAAAGATCATGTTCCATGAAGATATTTTGTAAACTTCCTACTGTAAATATATCAAAACTTAATTTTTGATTAGTAATATGCATTGCTAAGAACTTAATTTGGACAACTTTAAAGATGATTTTCTCAATATTTAGATTTTTTTACACCCTCAGATTCCAGATTTTCAAATAGTTGGATCTCAGCCAAATATTGTCCTATCCTAACAAACCATACATCAATGGAAAGCTTATTTAGTCAGCTTTCAGATGATGTACAAACCTCAATTTTGAAAAATTTACCCTTATGACTGGTTTTGTGGTCCAGGGTCTTAAATGACCTCTTAAAAGACTTTTGTTACATACAATGCAAGACTTCATATCACCTTAAATTGGGAAAAAAACTGTATTTAAGGACAGGAATTTAATCAGAAACATAACCAGAAGGGTTTCCCACCACTCTGCTGCAATAGCTTTATGGGAGGAACAGACTAAAATTCAAGTCAGAATTAGCTGGATCTCTTCTCCTCGGTTCCCCGAATGTCACAACCAATCAAACTTGTGTTTACAAACTGAAGGGTGTCTCTGTGTCGACTGACAGCATGCCTTCTCTCACTGGACTCTTCCGATCTCTTCGTGTGATGCAGGGGAAGGTGGTCGAGCGCGGCAGCCATCAGACTCTGCTGGAGACGCGGGGCAGTCTGTACGCCGAGCTGTGGAACACACAGAACAGCAGAAACACCAGCAGCGGCAGCAAGCCTGAGCCTGAGCCTGTGCCCGAGCGCGTGTCGCAGAAAGAGGAGGAGCGCAAGAAGCTGCAGGAGGAGATCCTGAACAGCGTGAAGGGCTGCGGGAACTGCTCCTGCTGAGGCTCTCGTGCTCCCGTCATGCCCAGACCTGGACTGTGATCACAGCGAGGGCTCAGAGCTGACAGCGGACAGTTTCCCGTAACCTCGAGGGCTTTATTGTCACGTGCTATCAAGATGATTTGAACCAGTTTTAAAAGATTTGGAAGTCTTGTAAGTTGTTTTTATTATGGGTATGTACGTATTACCAATGCAACATGTTCGAGATGTGCCGAGAAGCGCGTTGTATAGAGTGCACATATCACTGAATAGATATTTTGTCTGTTGAATTATGTTAGATATGTCTCTATGAACACTGGCACCTTTGATGTCTCATATTTAACCAAATCTGACTTGCAAGTACATTTAACAGCTTGTATTAAATAAACGTCCTTCTTTGAGTGTCTGAGAGCAAGTATTTCTTTCAGCGAATCGTATTTGGTTTAATCTAAATCATGCAAAACTTCATTTAAAATGGACAGATGAAGCTTCCGTTGTGTTGTTCAGGGCTTCATATGCTCCAGTATGTCCATGAAATCATTCAGAAAATCATTTTTAGAATGAACGAAGAAAAACAATTATTGCCGGGGAAATAGTTTGTCATAAGAATAAGTAGTGATGCAGTTTTGTTTTAAAGTGTTTTAAGAGTAAATGCAGGTAATGTGATCATCTTTATCATTGTGTGTGTATTCTTGAATTACTAAAAATGAATGAAGTGGATTGACATGATGCATGGTTCTCATAATACTGACATTTAAGTGGTCATGTCATACCATGGGATATATTATGGGATGTATTTTTCTTATAAAATTTTTAAGTTATAAAATGGACAGTATATTATGATTTTCTGGTCATTTTTTATTTTATTTATTTATTTTCACTGTCCCAGTTTGCCAACAGTTTATTGATATAATGTAGTAAACTGGGACAATTTAAAGTTACATTTTCCCCTAATATTTCTTGTTGACTAGTTCTATTAGTTTTCTGACCCATTCACTGTATGAGTACTAAAGCATGATTTTCAGAGTCCAGTAGCTGAAAACAAAGACAGCCGAAGGAAAAGGAGGAATATACAGCCAGTACAGCAGTCGGGAGATATTAAACGGGAAATTATTGTAATAGAAAGTATGTTATCATCATTATGCACTTAACTGATTCGATTTACAAATACAAATATTTAAAAGAACTTGATCTCCCAGTTAGCTCGTAATGGAGAATTGTTATTTGGGATTTTATATTTGAAAGTAATGATGCATACACGCAGTATTCAAGTGTAAGAAAAACGCTTCATTTGCTTGCACCAAGTGATGATCTAGATTTTTAAATAAACATTTTTGGTTTTCATTATCTTGATATCTTTGTTTGTCATCTGGCACAATAAAAACTCAATTACGAATAATTCTATTTTAAGCTCGAGTGTCTGTGACAGTTTATCAGGCTTGATGCATTTATATAATCTCGGTTAATGATTGATTGAGCCAATATGAGCTGTGATTGGGAGGCTGGTGCTGCGTGTATAATATTGCAGAGCAGATGTTAAGCGTTCAGTCAAAGTGACCTGCTGGAGTCCATATGTGTACAGAGCAAAGATGCACAGGAATAAACTGCACTTCATATAGCGAGAGCATTCTAATAACGATTGACGATATGGTAAACATCAGATATAAACAGCATTACGTGCATCTTAAATGCATGCAAATATTGGCGAGGGTTCTTGTACATATAATTACAGGCCATATTTTCTAGTCTGTCATCAGTTGTTGTTCTGATTTGAATTGATTAAGCTTATTTCATGGAGCTCTTTCTTAAATGCACAACGGCTGAACTCTCGATCCATGTGCTCTGAACATTTGCACTCACTTGTTTTTCACAAATGGAATCTGCAGGTTTTCCATTGTGGCGTCTCCAGGCGCATAAAAGCCTGACAAGGCCCCCCTCTCAGCCTTTGTGCGAGCGGCACAATAACACGTCCTGCTTTACGTCTGTTCAAGCTGTTCCTCACCTCTGAAAAACCTGCCGACCTACACCTGAACACAGCCAGAGCGCAAGACGGATGATATACATATTCAGAATTACACTGTGTCTACACCGGACGCGCCGCCGCAACAGCTAAAGTCTGTCTAAACTGGACACAACAAAGCGACCAGTTGAAAATCATTTGACATTTGTGTCGGTACGTCATAAATAGAACGCGGCATCAGTTTACTGTCGGGGATTTGTCGCGCCGCGCCGCATCAAGTGTAGACGGCATAGGTTCTATTGTATTTTGTCGCGCCGCATCAAGTGTAGACGGCATAGGTTCTATTGTATTTTGTCGCGCCGCATCAAGTGTAGACGGCATAGGTTCTATTGTATTTTGTCGCGCCGCATCAAGTGTAGACGGCATAGGTTCTATTGTATTTTGTCGCGCCGCATCAAGTGTAGACGGCATAGGTTCTATTGTATTTTGCCGCGCCGCATCAAGTGTAGACAGCATAGGTTCTATTGTATAGGTTCTATTGTATTTTGTCGCGCCGCATCAAGTGTAGACGGCATAGGTTCTATTGTATTTTGCCGCGCCGCATCAAGTGTAGACAGCATAGATTCTATTGTATTTTGTTGTGCCGCATCAAGTGTAGACGGCATAGGTTCTATTGTATTTTGCCGCCGCATCAAGTGTAGACAGCATAGGTTCTACTGTATTTTGTCGCGCCGCATCAAGTGTAGACAGCATAGGTTCTATTGTATTTTGTCGCGCCGCTTCAAGTGTAGACGAGTGTAGACGGCATAGGTTCTATTGTATTTTGTCTCGCCACACCGCTCACATCCGGTGTAGACACGGTGTTAGATCGCATATCCTTGGTAAATTTCAGCATTAGCGGCTGAGATTTTCTGACATTCTGGGGCCACTTGAGTGCATTCTTTCAGTTCCACTTGGACGTCTTCGCCTGGGCGAGCTTTTATGCTGTTTGAAAGGAAATAAGAGGCTCTCAGCATCTACAAGTGTCTTAACTAGAGCGGCCTTCCTCCAGTCCTGCTGCACTCAGCTGGGGCTTGACGTGACCAAGGCTAAAACTAATGTGCTTCAGCATCGCAGTCGTTTTTGACGTTTCTTTAAAAACAAGAAACATGCTCTGCTTTTAGATTTCAGGGCATTGCAGAAGGCTGCTTTAGTTTAGAGGATATTGTTGCTCATTATAATCAAGTGCTATTCATACATCCAGCTGTATTTTATGCATGCCTGAAATTTCCCTCTACTTTTACAGAGTAGCCATGCAATAGCTTGAGCATTTGTTGAAATCGTTTTCAAATAGAGAAAACGCAAAGTGTTATATTCAAAACTGGCGGTTTCTGGCAGCCATCGACTTCCATAGTGTGGAAAAATACTGTAGAGTCAATGGCTACCAGCCCACAGTTTGGTTACCAACATTCTTCAAAATATCTTCTTTTATGTTCAACAGAAACAACATGAGGGTGATGATGACAGAATTTCCTTTTTTTGAGCGAACTGTCCGTTTAATAAACCAGGCGTTTGCTATTATGATGTCACATATTAAAGTCAGAAACATTACATGGATTACATGAAATTGCATGGTGGTCTAAATATGTTGCTTTGCAATTATAATGTTGAAAAAATAGCAACTAATTTATCTTCATTTCATAAGCAGGTCCTTGTCTGGTCACAAGCACAACTTCTGATAAATATTTTCTTTGGATCAACAGAGATATAGTTGTGTTATGCAGATGGCCTGCGATTAATGCAGTATACCAACGGTATACCAACTGTAGTTATTTGACTCCTTCAAAATATCCTTTATCTCTGTATTTTATGTTCTCTAGACTCTACTGGCTACTAAAAGGTCGATACATTTCTTATCTCTTAATGAAATTGAGTTAATCCCAAATGTTTTAATTTTGTTATCTATGATATTGACTGGTGGAAGGTCTTGTTGACTCCAAATAAATATTTAATAACTAATAAAATAAGATGAGTATAACTGAAGGTAATTCACCATCATTAATATTTAAAAAGAGAGATATTGACATTGTTATTTTGTAAACAGCACCCAGAGACTATTGCCATTAATTAATTGCGGAAAGTTTTTTTTTTTCCAATTTATTATTGGCAAAGATTTATTTTATTTATTTATTGTACTTTAGGAAATGTTTTGTTTATATTTGTATTTGTATAAGAAGAACAACAACAGAAAAACAAAATTAATTTTCAAAGGAGAAACTAATTGTGTACGTTCGTCTTGCTGACTTTCAGCAGTATTTCGAGACTATTTCCAATAAAAGTCTTTAAAAAATATTAATATGTGAGTCCTTTAGTCTTTTTCTTTGATATTTGATTTACTTTGTCTGCATGATTATATACCCCGGTCTCTTTTTGTTTAATTTTTTTCTCATCTTGTGTTGTAACCTTAATTGTGTACATGTTCTCAATAAAAAAAAAACAATAAAACAAAACAAAAAGTGTAAGTACTAAGTAGTCTAAACAATGATATAATATCATGCTGCTGTATTGACTAAACTAATGCATGCAAACATAATCTTGGCACAGTGGCCCAAAATGCAAAAAGAAAAAGAGTTGCAAGTATTAGTTGCATTCTCCGGGCCTTATGAATGAATGAATTCATTCATTCATTCATTCAGTACTTAAACATTTGGCAGGATTTGTTTGCTTCCTTCGTGTCTAGTTTGCTGATGGTAATTATCTAGTAAATGAAAGTGCAATAAAAATTGACATTTGTAAATTGGTTAGGTTGACTCTTACTCATTTGCAACTGTTTGTTCAGTGCAAACTGTGATGAAGAATAAGGTCCTCTCCATTTCTTATAGCATATTTGGCAGCATATCACATGCAATTCTGAAGCAGTTTAACTGTAGAAGCATTTGTTAGTTGTGCTGGTTTGTGATGGAAGGCCAAATGAACCTTACCATCCACAGATGTCCGTGATGTGTGTGTGTGTGTGTGTGTGTGTGTGTGTGTGTGCGTGTGTGCGTGCGTGTGTGAGAGTGTGAGAGTGCTTCTTCCAAAGATCAAAGCTTAATGAGGACTATATTTCACTGTTTACCAGGATAACGTCTCTGGGATGCTGGGAATCACACAATGGAAAAGGAGACGACGGGAGGGCAACACTTACACTAACCTTATTGGCTTTGAACAATCGCTGCAAATATACTGCTTTGCTCAACACTGCAGATTGGATTTCACTGTTTTTGAACATACAATAGATTTGTAATCAGTTGTAGATAACTCTAATATATGTTATCTACATATGGGGGGTGGGCTTGGATTCATAGGCGGAGCATCTGTAAGGCTGGGGAAAGGGCTTAGCCTCCTCCTGGCCATGGGGACTTGGGGCAAAAATGGCACTAAATTGGACAAAAATGCCCCTGCACAAACAAATTAAATCTATTA